GGCGCATGCCCAAAGTTTTGACTCTCTCGCACAGAAAGTAGAATTTTATCCTGCTCCGTTAATGATTGCCCATTCCCCTAAACCGCGTGCCTTTTATACCGAGACAAAACTTCTGAATATTCACACAGTTTTTAATTTTATTGAAATGGGCAGTACTTTTTCTATGAGTAACACATCCTGTTCTGTAACTAAGGAAAGGTTCTTTAATCAATTATTGTTAACAGTTTGTAGCTTTCAAAAGGTGGTGCGTCGGCTTCTTTCTTCACCAGGCTTTTCAACTTTGTTAGAGTGTGACCCGCATTTGCCGAGGTATTATCAGTTTATGGTAGGAAAAGTCTCGAGTCCCACTACCTCTGGTTAATTTGCCTAAGCCAGTTGTACAACTCCCGGCCCCCAATAATAACGTTACACTATAAAATGTATCCTATGTCTATAAAAAAGTCTAAAATTATGATGGCGAAAATAGGATACTAAGTATACGAGGTTTACATAAACTATAAAATGTTGTATAAAAGGTTTAATACTTTTGCTACTTTCTTAGGTGCTAGGGTGTGGGGTGACCGAGCTTTGATGACGTCACCTTCGATGTCCTTCTTCCCTGAAAAGGAGGTTGTTTCAGTGTCTATCAATTTACAGACTGCAGTCTGCGATTGTCATGAGCCGCACGCGCTTTCGTTACGACCGTTATTAAAACAAATGCACAAATAGTACAGATCAAATATATCTTATTTTGGTGCTGCGGATAAGACAATGAGCGACGAATGGACCCGTACAGGTTAAGTGCAGATTACGTCTGGCCATTAAAAAAATAAAAAGTCCGAAAATTCTCTGGGTTTGAAGGGCACTGCACCCCGACGTGTCTCTGAGGTAGTCTTCATATTGCTTATCAATAAAACAGATTAACCTGAACAAAGATTGAATCCAAAATAAGACGCTAACCCCCGCAAAGGCTTAAAAAATCTAATACTAAAGCAAAAGAAACGTGTTACTATTGTCAAACGAGGCTGCCTTGTTTAAACTTTTGGATCCCCTAAATTGAATTCCGTTAATTTCTGATAATTAGTTTTTACTGTAACCGCAGAATATACCGTTCAATTAAATATTTCCGTGGCCTTAGACGCGTGGAATTTGCCGACATACCACTAATAGGGATAATTTAGTGTCGAAGCATCGCAGTTATCTTTAGCGCCGAAGGTTCCAGTGGACGAAAACACTTCATCTGAATCGTTTAGCAAAAGTATAGACACTATTTCAGGCTGGAGGAAATGAACATAACTTTTGATGCCACGGAAGATTTTAATACCAAATTAGCGTATCCCGGTCTGATTAATTAAAAAGTGACGGGGAAAAAAGTTTACAGAGACAATGGAAAGGATTTACAAGGCGTGAGCTTCAAAACTGAACACCGCGTGGGTTCACCGTAACTACATACAAACAATAAAACCGTTTCACATTATGTATCACGTCGTTAATTAGCTTGAACGAAATGCTTAGCAACAAAGCCGAGTGGAGTCAAACAGAAAAAGAAAAAAGTGCAGTTCGATTTTACTAAGACCGCAGAATGATCTTTTCCGGCCCACGCCGTGGTGTGATTTCACCGGTTGTCATTTGTACATCATGAGAACTGCTTTAATACCAAGGTGATACAATATTGTCTTTGCAACTACGGTTGTCGTTTCCGGATTCAGTCGAAGCCTTACTGACTTTGATTAAAATCTAATTGTGCTAAACGTAATAGGCTGCAAGCGTTTACTGCGGCTTTCTTTCTGTTTTTTTTTTTTTTTTAATCTAGTGCGCTAACAGAAATCAATGTTAATCAGGATGTTACGATGTGTCAACGTAAGAACATAACGGAATAGATGATCAAACAGGCGCCCAATTCAGTACGTTCCGCAGCCACAATACAAAGATGAATTACTATTTTAACTAACTTTACTTTCAAAGAAATTGCGAGACAACGCCTCCAACATTGAATGAAAACTATCTCAAATGTAAAGTGCCTGCGAATATATGTGAAAGAAGTGATTCATCACGAATGAAATTTGTTTCATCCAGGTACCTCATGCGACTATCACCTCGGCCACGCTTAACTGTCCCTGTAGTCACGAAAATTGTCGTAAGCGTTTCGAACCTCATTTGCGGAGCATATTTTAGACTGAATACTACCAGATCGGAAATCTGAATGTCTCGTTTGGTAAAGAAGAGGAGTATTGAAATCTTCGTGTTGATGGCAAAACCAAGAAATATTCAACATCATCTCGTGACTGCGGCTTGCGATCTAGACCTCTCCTCCTACCCCACCCACCCCATGCCTTGTAGTTCTACCAACCTACTGGTTCTGGCCGAGTAAACTTAGACCATCAATCAGTTTTAACTGTAAAGCATCCTCCAGGGCATAGACATAATGAAGAAATCTCAAGTTTCCTTTGACCATAGAATCACTCATTTTGATGTAGTTTTGCCTCTTTCACGTTATCTTTTCCGAATCGATATCATAATTTTTTTTTAGAAATCATTTTTAGTAGCGACAACTGTTGACAAAATTGAAAAACACGTCTCTCGAACTTCAAACAAATGTTCAACCGATTTGTATGCCTCTTGATTGCAATAAACTTGCGATTAGTGCCACCTCAATAATGCGCAGAATCTTTCGGTTCATTTGTTTGTCGGCATCTGAAAACTGAATCTTTTGGATCACACGAAGCATGCTGAAGTACTTCCATATGTGCCGGTGGTGATGCCTGATTTTCTCAGTTGAGTCGGAATGACAAATTAATTACTGTTAACAGGCCATTAAATTGTAAATAACAATCAAAATTTCCGATTTAATAGTTATCAGTGATCATGTATATGCATTCATGCTGCTGTCAAATGAACATTACCGAAGACAATCCCATCGGTTCCGGGAGAAAATTTTAATAAAATCTTGCCGGCTTTCATTGGATGCACATCACTGAAAATTGCACCAGTGGCGCCCTAGCTACAGGCCCTGTAGTTGGATGACGACACATTACTGTAGCTTTCTTTTTCAACGGGTCACTGTTCACCAGCTGAAAAGTCAAAGGAAATCTCGAAGAGAAATAAAAGCAATAACGTGAAAACCAAAGCCGAAACTAAAACCCATGCAAAAGGAAAACCACCCAACGGTATCTACCATTTCAAGCCGATAGGTGATGAGCCATAGAAAGAAAAGTTATCGAAAGGAGGACGTACTTGGATTCAACACCAAACTCTTCGACCCGAAAAATATGGCTGACAGTGCCAAGAATTGGTAATTTTTCTTGGGGGATTCAAGGATTGAACAACAGTCCGTAGAAATTTTGGTCAAAGGATTGCAATTTCTAACAGCGTTTTTCTGACCCGAAAGGGTAAATGTTACTCTCCTCCGGAAATTTCTGTCTCCATCCAGCTATAGAGTTTCACATTTCCGTAGTTAAAATCTGTCATGGTGTATTGGGAAGCTAATCGCTTGTAACCATTAAACAAGGTAATAAACCCGTGCATCTTCGAGGGGTTGCTAAGAACTCATTTTCTACACCCACTGAAAAAAAAAATCTACTTTTCTTCAGGAACTTCAAGGCGGAGCAGAAGTCCTTTACGTTCGTGATTGCTTTCGTGATTGCAAAGGAATAAGTTTCTTTACAAGAGCTTTCCGAAAGTAGAGATTTGATGATGAAAGGAAAAGGAGCATGCTAGAGCGAAACATGCCAGCCAAGAAAGAGAGAGCTGCAAAATTTTTCCGAAGAATGAATTCGTGTTCCCACAGTTGCCGTTTGGTGGGAAGTAATCATAGAATTTAAGATATATTTTTCTCAACGAGCTTGACGGGTTTTTGCCTTTTGAAGGGCATGCACTCGTTTTGGATTGTCAGGCAACTGAACTTCCATTGATAGAAGCAAAATTCCCGAGATTTGTAATAACTTATATGAGAACTGGAACCACTTAGAGTACTGAGGGAATCTCTTCAATCCGGCTGAACCACCCGACTTTTAGCGCTCGAGGCTTGTCACGTCAAATCAAACTAACAACAGAGACAGCATTTTAAACGGTTTAATGTTTCATGAGTTTGTAAGAGAAGATTCTACGGATAACCTTTAACTTAAAAACACGCAATTACGAGGAACATGTTATCTGTTCTGGGAATTAAACCTGCTGTCCTTAATTCATGCATAAGTTTCTCATATTTTCAATCGCTCATGTGGAAACTTTTTCAAATATTTCAACACCTCTTCAAAGATTTACCGATCAGAAGAAACTAGACTTCATTGAAGTCTCATCATAACCTCATTGTTTTTTGTTCAGATGCTGTTCATTAACTCTGTTTATTTTACCGTTCCCCCTCTTGACACATCGGAAAGTGCGAGGTAACTCCAATATAAATAAGAGCAAAAAACCTACATGGCACCCTAACATTAAAAGCTAAATATAATCTAACAACCGTATCTTGAATAATTGTTTGTTGTGTTTTAAACCTGTATTGGCTTTCTAATAATATACATATTTCAAAGTTAGCTGACGATCCGCTGCTCACTAAGTTTTTACGGCAGCACATTTAGCCACATGTAGTGAAACATTTACGCCCGTTTGTAGTTTAAAAGCCGAGAGCAACATCGCTTTTGTATTTTTGAAGTACAATGAGCTAATTGTTTTTTCTTTTAGTTCTTGTGTAGTCGAGTTCACCGCTCGACTTCGGGGCGAAGCGCAGACACTCGCAAATTTGGAATTCCTTGGGATGCACCGGCCATCCCGGCTATGTCTTTAGCCGAATTCGCGTTTAATTTACCTTCGATATTGCACGGCGTTGAATATCTTAGGCGGAATTTAAAACCAGGTAGAAATTTTCAAGGGATTGGAAGCAGACGCTCAAAATTCCTCTCAAGGAGAGAGGTATCTTTGTAAACAGCTGAAACTATGAAGAGGACAGTGGGGGCACAATATACAGCGATGTGATTGGCGCGTAGTATAAATGACCTGTGACGTCTTGAAGCAAGTTTATTTATTCCAAGCATTTGATTAATTACCGAGTTTGAAAGATGCGGTGAAGTTACTCGGCGTTCAGCGTAAGAGCGTTAAACGTGCTTTTCTTTCATCTAATTCTGTTTGCAGCATCAGACGAATGGTTATGCTACAGTACAGATGTAAGGCGTGCCTTTTGGCAATTCTACAGCTCGCCGCCATTTCAGGTACGATGTTCAGCTGGTTGAGTGCTCATAACATTGTTGTCGTTTTGCCAAGCTTGGAACAAAAAGAAGCACGTTAGGTCTCTTTTAGGCTTTCACTCTTTCAGGCTATTGTTTAATACATTAACTTTTAGGGAAATTTGTTTCGGTAACGAGAAGTTGTCTTCCTCTGCCTGAGCACGAGGGCGATACAACGCGTTGTAGCACCTCGTTGTTTATCTTGCTATGGGTCGAAGTCTTTCAATCGTGTGCTTCCCCTTCAACTACTTCCTAAACTAGCGTTTCAATCGTATATTGTAGACCGCAAATATGAATTTTTGGGACGATTTAAATGATCCAGCAAGCGAAAAGGACGAATGTCTCTTAACCCTTGAATCGGTTTAGCGAGTGTACACAATCTGGGCTCTATTTGTTTCACTATACACGCAGAATGAATAGCATTGACAAATTCTCTTTTTCTTGTAAGAAAAGATCTGATTACCAAAGGATGTAAGAACGGTTAATGTAGTGTCTCTTGTACCATTTCCGCTACCATAAATCTGAAATATTGAGGAAAGACATTTTCAATTTCATTTGAATCATTACTGTGAAATTATAAACCTTAACATGTTGAGTAGTTTTATGTGTGTGTAAAATTAACCCTTCTTTTTTGTCAGACAAGCTCTTTCGTGTTTCGCCACATGTGTTCATCAATTCTCAAGTAGATGTTGTTCTTGAGTTTCTTTGGATCTCCGTTTGACCACCACGCACTCCTAAGATAAAAAAAATTATTTCTTATGGAGGGAAAGCTCATCTGAGTAGTTAACCCACATGTTTACTTAGGTACGAGAACCAATACATTCGGGAAAGGGGTTGAACTGAGGGATAGCGACGGATTTTTTTTTCAACGGGATGTAGAAACTTACATTTTGGTGGAGCCTTACGTTTCCAATGACTTCGCTTCACAACCTGGTCGCAGGTTTTTCTTTCTGGAACATCTTGCGAATTTAATTACATCCTTTTCATTCACAAAGGTGTGAAAAGCGGTATCAATTCTTTGTGAGTGCGTAAATCGCCTGCGTTCCTCAAATTATGTTAATCTATTGAATATTATCAACTTCTTTCCTGGTTTTGAAATTTGCTTTTATTGAGATTCCAAATGATCTTATACTTTTGCAAAGACTTCAAAGGTGTCGAATTGTCATTAGATTTTCCCGGAAACTAATAATTCACCAAAATTTTGGGAAACATCCGTAGTTTTAAGTAGTACAATTTATGAGGACGTGGTCTCGACAAAGGAACGGAAGTGACTCAGTTTTTATCTCTTACACCCTTTAGGTTCCTTTACAACTCTCTTATTGCGTAGCAACCTCTATTTTTAAACCTTCGTTATGTTTTTAATGAAACATTTTATGGTTCAAATGACTCAATAGTTTTTGTTGATTTTTACAAATTTATAAATTTATGTTTTCAGTTATGTATGTTTTGTCTCTTAATACTTTTGATTAAAAAAGATGTCCCGAGGCATCTAATAACTAATCAGTATGACATAATGAGGTCCTCAATACTTTTGTCGGACAGAAAAATTTTAATGAGAAAATTTGTGAGCTAAGCCATTTTAGGTTGTCTTTAATTTTTACCACTAAGTTGGTAGATAAAATTTAGTACTATATGACGCTTGATTCCACTAGAGATATTTCATTATTGTGTTATATTGGCATTGTGACCATGGAAGAAAAATACTGCATCAAGGAAACAAACCACTTGGAAAATCAACCTCTGTTTGTCTATTTTCAGTGCAAAGTAAATCAATTTTGCCAAATTTATTAACTTGATATAGCTATCTCTGTTGAATTCAAGGGACTCACTCAGTGCAGTATGCAAATATAGTGAGGTGCTTGTCAAAGTTTTTGTCGGGAATACATTTTTAACACAATAAATTTCAAGTTATATTAAAATTAGCCATTGGATCTAAAATCAGTGGCATGCCTATTTCTTAGTCAATTTAACATAGTACCAGTTTTGTTTGAAGTTAATGTAATATGAGTTTCAAAAATCACCTTACAATTTATTGAAATAGTTTTAAAGTGTTTAGGAAGCCATTTATGAATTAAGTCAGTTTGCTTTGTTTTCATTATGATTTTTGAGTCAATTACAGCATCATTTGGACTGATGATTTATCTTTCATGTCTAGAAATCTTGATAAATACTCCTAATTTCTTCATCTTTAGCAGGTGTTTCATTATTCCATTTGAAAATGTTGAAAATATTTGTATGTCTCCTTTTTTTTTTTGTGAAAGTCATTTGCTTACTACATGCTTGGTGTTAAGCAAGAGAAAAAAATTAAAAAAAATATTTTGTAGAACAAAATCTTAAATAAACCTTTGTGGAAAAATTTTCCCACATTAATCAATAGGTCTGTAGAACCTGACTGTTTTTTACATGATATATTTTGTTGCTACTCTTAAATGTTCCCCTTAAAAAGAAAGCTTTTCAGATCAGCACTGATTGTGAGGAAAGGGAGGAAGACTTTAACTTGAGTAGAATGTTAAGTATTAGAATGTTTTCTGTTTTCAAGACCTTAATTTGAGAGGAAAACAAATGAATTGATATTTTCTCATTTTTTCAAAAATTTTATATCATCCAGTCATATTTTCTAAACTTTTAAAATTGTATCTGAGGATTGAAGTTTCACCAGAATAAGACAAAATCAAATGGTGAAAGTGTAAAATTTTATTATTAACTATATGGTCATGTATATATGTATAGAAACAAGATCTGTTATTGAAAGGCAGCTAATTACTGAATTAATGGGGGTCCATGTTATCAATCATATAATAAGTTTAACACAGCAAGTGATTCATTGGGTAAATTGGATCTGATAAATTAGATTTGCCTTATTGGTGTCCCTTATCTTGGTAGAGAAATGTCTTAACTGACAGTTTCTTCATTAAAATACCAGTTCAGACAGTGGTAAATTATCTGCTTAAATTTGTGTAAACAAGATTTTTAAGATTACCCCTTACTATATTATAATGAGTTTAAAATCAGTTGAAAGCCACCTGGTTTTACTTTGCATTCAAGCCATGCATGGTTTATTCCTTATTGCTTATGTAAAACTTCAGAAACTATTAATAGCAATATTGTATTTTCTGTTACAATTTGCAGTTTGATTTTCTTTGATTCTATGACTTGTTTTTTTCTGACAGAGTGTAGTTAATCATTTAAACAACACAACCAAGTTAAAGGGAACTGAAAATAGAAACAAGGAAAGTGAGAGATACTGTCCATTGATATTTGGAATAGAGAAATTCTGCTTGCAGAAAAAAATGTTTCAACCTTTAACCTTGTGATTATTACTTTGCATGTTCTGCCTCTAAAATATTTAAAAAGGAGACTGATAGTTGCTATGCCATTGATTAAAACTAAGTTCATGCACACTGTCAGGATTTGTGGTTTGCAGAATGATCTTGTGAGAATTCCTGACACCAGGTTCCAAAAATACCCTCTCTTGACATAACCTGTCTTTAACTGGAGATTTTTGTCTAGTTACAATTTATCACTACTGTTACTACTTTTTTCATGTATTCTTCAGTGAGTGATAAGTTTGATAAGGATAGGTTTATAATAATCAATCAGTGCCCATTTCATTTAAATCAGTTTTCCAATTTTCTTCAGCAGGAACATTATCAAGAGCACCGTACTTTATTGAGGAACCTTCAGATATATATGTCAGAAAGGGGAGACCAGCAGAACTACATTGTCGAGTAGGAGGGAATCCAAAGCCTAGTATAACATGGAAAAGAGATGGCCATAACTTGGATTTGTCAAGAGACAGTAGACGGAGGATTACGTCAAATGGATCTTTACATTTTTCAGAAATTATTCACAATAAGACTCAGAAGCCAGATGATGGGGTCTATCAGTGTGCAGCATCTTCAAGAATTCAGAGTTTTGAATACCAAGTTTTAAGCAGAACTGCTCGTGTTATTGTTGCTGGTAAGCTCTACCATTTGAGATTCACTGGCAGGAATTTTGTATTTTACTTACTTCCTTTTGATTCACAGCCCAAAAGTTTCTGTGGAGGTGATAACCACAATAAATTCCACATGAACATGTCTAAATCTGGGAAAAGAACTTTAGGCTACTGATTGAATGTTTCAGTCAAGCTCAGAGAAAGAAATTAATGAGGCAGAATATAATGGGTGCCTTTAGGCATTCATGGTGACTGACAGCGAAGTCAATAGCTATGGAATGTCCTGCTACGTAGATCGCTTTGTGACACTCTATTTCCCACTCCTTCATGGAATTTGCATTTATTACAATGATTTTGGTCATTTTGAACAGTAGTGCTTTGTAATGAGCTTCAAAGTAAAATCTCAAGTTTTCTGTATGTTGCAATAAACAAGACCACCTAAACTAATTAAATGAAAGAGTACATGCATTTGCATGTAAAGAATGACAAAGGACTAATTGAAATACAAACATGAACATATGTGCATCTAAGTCTCCTACTACATGTGCATAACTACACACACTGAAAGTGCAATGTAATTCCAATGCATTATGCCAACTTGATGCGAATGGGGCTGTTGGAGTACTTGCAAGCAGCACTTTACCAGCTGAGGGATATAGTCTAAGTTATTTTCTTTTTGTTGTTGTTGTTGTTGTTTTTTTTTTTCAACCAAACAACAGTCCAATGTTTCCCTATCTGTGGATTCTTTGTTGAGGGGTGCATAGGTACCAGAGGGGTACAAGAGTTGCTTTTATTGAACATAAAACAAACTCAGTAATCCCATGATAAATTATAATTGTAATATATCATATGCTCTACACAAAATGATAAAATAGTATTGACAACTATATTGTAATTTTTCAGGTATTTCCTCCAAGGTGTCTGTCATTTTCTCACGTACAAGGAAAGTTCCATCAGGGGATACATCCAGATTTTTTTGTAGTATAAAACATTCAGCACCCAAAGCTGTAATAAGTTGGAGAAAGAAAGGTGAAAATGGCACAATTTCATCTGGAGGACATTATACTTTGATTCCTAATGGAGCACTGCAAATAAGGAATATTGGATTTGAGGAACAAGGAGAATATGAGTGCATTGCTGAGAACTTATTTACCAACAAGAGGCATACCAGCACAAACACAGGATATTTTGAAGTTCTACCAGGTATGTTTTACTTAGTTATGTGAAGTGTGTGCAACACTTGTCATTTACTCAACATTTGAAAGATGACAGAATTTAGGCTGCAGGTGTGGAGACAAGTCTCTGTCAGGGACAGGATATTGGGCCTGTTATCCCCATATAGACTCCATCTAAGAGGAATGTCTGAAGCTATACAATAACTTTCATGTACTCAGTAATCCTTTTATTAAGCTAGCTCCAAAACGTTTGAAATAACAGTGACTGAATCAGCAACAAAGCCCTGAAATGGAACATTTATTAAAGGACTTCACTTTTTGCAGCAAAATTTATCATATGTTCTTATTGTAGAGTTGAGGCAAAATTATTTTTCAACAAATTTGATTTCAACTGATTCAAAAGCAAACAAAGGATTTCAAGATGATACTTGAAATAGAATTCAGGGTAGTTTCTAAAGAATTTGACAGGAAACTATAGATGTGTGATTTCTGTTTGAAAAGTTTGTGGATGACACTTGCTTCAAAAGAAACAATTCACTTTGACTTAAAAATGTTTTAAAAGTGGCAGTTTAACAGCTTCTTCTAGTGTTTTGCCTTAATGAGGTACTTGTTGGCAGGGGTGACAAATTAAGAAGAAATGAAGAGTAAAGGGTTGTTTCAGGGTCAAGGGTCATTTATCGATATCTCTGATAAGTTATTTGATAGTTAGTAAGTTAGTCTAAGGCAAAATGAGTCCACCTGATTGAGGGACCATAACTTAGAATTTACTAGTCACTAGACCAATTTTGGATCATGTTGTCTTTATTATTATTTTTTTTTATCTGACAGCTACTGGTTTTTTGCGTCGTCCTCAGTTTGAGGTAAAACCTAAAGATAGAGTGGCAGTTCTTGGAAGCGAGGTAGTTCTTGAGTGTATAGCAAATGGATTTCCCAAACCGCGAGTTACTTGGCTGAAAAATGGCTCACCTGTGTTGCTTGGAAAAGACTACACAATCTTAGGGGAAAGTAACCTTGAGATTAAGTCTATTACTGTAGCACATGCAGGAAATTACACCTGTCAAGCAATGGCTAATGGCCGGAAAGAGGAAGCGTCAGCCAAATTGGAAGTACATTGTAAGTTTTTAATTATGGCTAAGCAATACTGCACCAGATTGTGCTTTTGAATTCATTCACTTGCTGGTTGGTTATCAAACCTAATTGGAATGTTTGAAAAAAGTGAAATGATTTACAAAATTTTTTTACCCAATAGCAAGTGATTTACCAAATTTTGTAAAAACTTACAGTGGTTTACTTTATGTCAGTAAATCAAGGTAAAGTGGAGTCTATTTCCTTTTTTATTCAAGTTGATATGCAAGTTCTAACAGCATGGTGTCTTCACATGCATGGCTCGCTGTTAAAAAGAAAATTAAGAAATGAAACTGGGGAGGAAGTATGGAAATGTTGGTTGGAACATGTTGGGCAACCTACTGTATTGCTGCAACATGAAGCATAAATGAGTATTGGCTCAGAAGAATCAATATTTCTATATTTGTTTCCAGATGCTCCTGTTTTTACCAAGAAACCAAGTGATGTTCATGCTCATATTAGTTCAGATGTAAGATTCAAATGCACAGCAGATGGAATACCCAAACCAAAAATCACATGGAGCAAAAATGGCTTTGATGTTGAAGGTGATTACATTACAGTTGGAGATGGCTTCCTGTTAGTTGAAGATGTGGTCTTCTGGGATGCTGCAGTCTATCAATGCTTTGCAGAGAACTATTTGGGAAAAGTACAAGCCACAGTAGAACTTTTTGTGTACAGGAGAGGTAATTGCATGTTTATAATTGACAAAATGTGGTATTTGCAGAGACACTGTCTTGTACAAATCTAGAAATCTACCTTTTTTTAGTAACCTCTAATTTAAGTGATGTGAGATAAGACATTTCTGTTGTTGTTGTTGTTGAAATTTTTAGTAACTAGACTTCCAAATTGTTCTCTATGTAAACCAGTGGGCCCTTATTCTTTGCCCTTGACACCCAATATTGGTGTTCACACTGTTGTGCATTTTGTAAGGTACTAACAAGGAGAATTTACTTGGCAATCAGGAGTTTCTTAAACTGGTGATCATTTGCTTTATTCTCATGACCTTTTCATCATAGACAGTCACTTTTAGGGGTTAAAAGGTTAACATTTGTTCCAGTTCAATGCTTGAAAGCTTTAGTAAAACTAGCTCGATATTTTATTGGACTTTGTTAAAAAATATATCTGCAAGTAGATTTTGGAGAATTGCAAGTTGAAGTTTGTTCTTTATCTATGACAAAGTGATTGTAGCTGTCTGGATAAGAGAGAACTTGTTTGAAATCCAAGGCAGGCTGCAAATTTATTGTAGATTTTATGTTTTGATGTTACCGGTGCCTTGGAATTTATGCACTAACGATGTAGATCCCTCACAAGGCCTGGTGTATCCATAAAATTTGGTATATGCAAGATCAACAGTTTGTTAACTTTGGAATGCGATAGTTAACCATACAGTGTAGGTTTGAAATATTTTTCACACAAAAAATGGAAAATTCTGTCTCCATTAATTTGTTCTGCAAGCTGATGTGTGAAGTTCCAAGGCATTTAGTTTCCTCTTTTTTGTTTTAAAATTTGTCATATCTTAGACATTAATTTCTCTTCAGTTGAATCCTTTGCTTCTAGAACATCCTTCAGAATTTTGTGCCTACCAAGGATTCTTTACCTTTTCAGGAGAACGTCTTCCAACTACTACAGCCCCTCCACCAACAACAACCCAAGCAACTACCATACCAGCCAGACAACCAACACCTACACCTAAACCAAGAGTACCTGAGAAACCAGAAAATGTGGTGGCCACTGCTCGTTCAGACACTGAAATACTACTGACTTGGGAGCCTCCAAAGGCTACCAATGGAGAGATTTTGGAGTACAGAATCTTTTATAACGTGATCAACCCAAGTGATGGTAAGTTAAGTTTTATCATTAAAAGTGATAGATTCTCTCTTATGTGGCCTAAACATAAATGTATCACCACACAGGGTAAGCGTTTTGAGGTCATAAGTTTTGCATGAGCTATGCATTTTGCTCTTTAACCCTTTACACCCAACATCAGTATGGATTTTCTCTATACCGTTCTCTATAAATTTTCTTAATTTTCTAAGAAAATTAGTATCAAAATCAGTATCTTAATTTTATAAATTAAGAAACTGGCAAGGAGAATTTGCTCATCAATGAGTTGTTAAGCATTATCATTACTGAGATAGGATAAATATATGAAGATCATATATTTTGAACTGCGGTATTAGATATGTATGATGCATGATCCTGGCAGTAGGTAGCGCTATTTAAGCAATAGCGAAAATCAGACCTGAAAAAAAAAAAAAATCAGGCCTGTACGGGACTCGAACCACTGACCTCTGCAATACTAGTGCAGCGCTCTACCAATTGAGCTAACAAGCCAACTGGGAGCAGGCCGTTACTCTTGTGACCTTGATGTTTGATTCAGGAGTGATACTGTTAGGAGAAATAAGATGCCAGTCACTAATGGGTGTTAAATGGTTGAGGTTTTGAAATGGCCCTGAGTGTCTCTGTAGTTCAGATGCCTGGTTCACACGTTTTTTGCTCATTAAGATGGCCAGGTGTCAGGAAAAAATTAGAAATTTTTTTGAAGAGAAAAGTCAGGGAATTTCCATTTGGGTCAGGGAAAGTTTCCATTGAATGAAATCAGGGAAAAGTGAAATCTCTTGTAAATATAAAATCACTTTTCTTATTTTGGCCCTCTTCATAGTGAATTGTGTTGACACTTAACTTTTTGTGATATCAGTGTTACCCAGCACATTTGCACATTGTTTTATACAGGTGATAGATTCCTGACAAGCATACCTTCTTTTTCTTTGTTGAACAGGAGTAGAGTTTGAGGACATGTTTTGGACACTCTCTTCCTCAACCCACCCTAGATTCCCATGGGTGTCTCCCCTCTCTCCTTTTTGATATTGCCATGTTGTAGAAGATAATGAAAATGTTCTTGTTATTACAGGTAGCATTATTTTCAAAGCTGAGAGCACATCTGGGAACCAACATAAAAAGTCACTGCCTGGTCTCCAACCTGATACAAAGTACCGTTTTGCTCTCTATGCTAAGAATGAGGCTGGTGCAGGAGCTATTTCTGAAGAGGTCACAGTCCAGACATACCCCAGTTCTCAAGTCCCAGGAAAACCTCAAAAGTTAGTGGCTGAAGCGGAATCTGACTCTTCCATTAGGGTCACATGGTCAGAGCCAGATACAGGGTAAGTTGTGGAAGAAAATTTGGTAGATAAATCCTTGTAGACGATCTTTTCCTCGTTTACTTTTGCTTATCTGATCAAGCTTTATGTCACTATTCTATTAATGACTTTGTGTACACAATATCTCTTAGAGATATATTGTTGTGAATGTAAAATTTCTCACACAGCATTTTCTTGTTTTTGGGTTGTCCACCCAGAAGTTAAACTATCCTTAATAACTGCCATCTGAAAAAAAAAATTATAAATGTTCAGGGTCACCTGTTTGTGAAGTGACACTTTCTCGCGGTACATGTTCCACAACAAGGCAACTACTGCTGGCAAATCTCACCCCCTCGGAAGGAAGATATGGCTGGCCAAATTTTGGATGAAACAATGATAGTGACAAAACAATTGAGTCAATAAAATTTAAGCAATAGGAATGTGCTCTCCAAAGTTCCGAAGTGCTTCCCATGTGGATGAACTCATGGCTCAACAGTGAACAAATCCTTTATAACATTTTCAGCATCTGGGCTAGAGATTGTGACTAGCACTGTTGCCAAGGTAATCTACTTTCTCCACCTTGGCAACTAGATTTTTGTATGTTCTAAAATTAAACAAGTCGAGTTCAATAGTACCTTGTATTGTCTAGTTTCTGTCTTGAGGAAAAAAGGTAAATTTTTGCATAAATAAAGTCTGTCGACATCAAACACATCCATCTTTTGACACACATTCTGTGCATGTAATTGCTGTTCCTCCTTTTTTTAACACAGGTGGAGAATTTCAAGTAGTTTCTCTATATTATATAACATACATTGAACTAAAGTCAAATTTGTGATACAGACACATACAGATGCAGCTTTATAATAATAACAATAATGAAAATAGTAATGAGTTATTAACAGATCCACTGGGTGGCTCTTTCCTGTTAAAGTACATCAATTACAATTAAGAATAAATCAAACTAAGTTATTTAGAAATTACGCAGTATCCAATTAAAAGTAGAAATGGATTTACAGAATCAAAATACAGTAACACTAACTACTCTACTCTGTTGTATAAAAAAAACTTCTGGGAAGGATTAAAAAGGTTCTGTAATCTTTACAGCTTCTAATAGTTTCTGGTAGCTATTGTTAAACAGCTGCAACACATTATCTTGGAAAGTGTCATTTTGGGTTGGGACCACTAATCTAATTAAATTGCTTGAGCCTAGTTCCTTGTGGCATTCCTGTTTTATTATTTTAAGATAATCTGGCCAAGTCTCAGTGTTATGCAAGGCTTAAAGCATGATTTCAGGAGGTTCAAATCTCTTTTTTCTTTGATTAGAAGCTATCTGATTTTAAGTACATCCCTAAAGTTCTTAACATAGTGACCAAGTACAAAACTTGCAGCAGCAAATTGAACTCATTGCAAACTGGGAAGTAAGAATTCTGGTAGAGGGTAAACAACCAGATCAGCTTTAAAATTGGCCACTGAAAATTTACTGATGGCAACCTTAGCTTACCACTTAGGTGTCAAAAGGACTGATTTCAGGCCCTGAACATGTTAGTTCTAATATTACACAAGCACAAGCACATCATTAAGCTCTACTGGAAATATGAAGCAGGCCTGTGCAAATGCATTTGTTACGAGGTTTTGCTTACTATGTGGTAATAAAGTTATTGAGTATGGATTCATCTTCTTGTGAGTAGTATAGTGATTGAGGGGTATAGATCATCAACCCTAGGGCCTAAAAATCTGAAATAATCTGTGAAAAATATATAACTCTGATCTGTAAAAATTGTCTGGAATAAATCTGAAAACTGATATGGCGAAATCCAAAAAAAATCCAGAGATTTTTAAACTTTACGGAAAAATTAAAATCATAAAACACAGACTCAAAATTGCTTCTTCTTAATCTTGTTTTCAAATTAAAACACTTAAATTTTTTAAAAGTGCTTAAAGAAAAATTGAATATGAAAATTAATAATGTGTAATTCTGAATCAAAAAGATATTTATATATTGTATGAATAAAGAAAATAATCAAAAATTTTATAAGTACTTAAAGTGCACCTAAACCCCCAAATTTTTTTTTTCGGGCAATGAAACGAGCTTATTTTTTGGAGTATTCTGCGCAAAAATTTTTTAATTTGCTGAAATCTTTAATTTTCTGTGCCCAGTCAAAATACGGAAAATCGGCCGCCATCATGCCCAACGCCCGAGTTTAAAGAGGAATGGCTCTAGCGGGTAATGTGGCGTCAAATCGAGAACACGAAAGTCTGCATTTCACACATTTTCACTTGTTTGGGAAGGTTGTCGTCGATATTGTCCGAAATATGCCGACTAGGTGTGTTGTAGGAGGAATATATGAAGCGCAATACCCTCTTGCAAATTTCGCATGTTGCTACATCCTTCTACAACACACTTAATCGGCATATTTTGGTTTATTAGTTGAATCATTAAAAATAACTTTTTGAAAAAGTCAATCCTGATGGTGAATTTCAAATTAACGAAGTATATTTCAATAGTAAACCTCAAACAATAATGAAATAACATAGCTAGAAGAATCTTTGCAATTAACAGAACGAGAATTATGAAATAAAATAGCACAATGGATTTCAGAAGGATCTGGTTGGATTATTAACTCAGTTGATAAGCATTATTTAAATTTTAATTATTATAATCCAACATAAGGTTCATCTTATATTGAATTACCACCAGAATTAAAGAATCCTAAAAGAGGTTTGATTAATTTACAAAATAAGGATAATGAATGCTTTCGTTGGTGTCATATTAGACATTTAAATCCACAAGATAAGTATACTCAGAGGATTAGAAAAGTTGATAAAAAGTTTGTTGAAAAATTAAATTATTCAGGAATTGAATTTCCAGTCAAACTTAGTCAAATAAATAAAATAGAAAAGCAAAGTAACATAAATGTGAATGTATTTGGATATGACAATCAACAAAGATATCCACTTTACGTTAGCAAAGAAAGAATTGAAGATCATTTGAATCTTTTATTGATAACAAATGAACATGATTCACAATATGTTTTAATAAAAGATTTTAATAGATTTATGCATGATATGACAAAACATAATGGTAGAAAGCATTTTTGTTATTATTGTTTTCAATGTTTCAGTTCTGAAAGAGTTTTGAATAATCATAAAGACAATTGTCATGTTATAAATGGAGCTCAAGCTGTTAAAATGCCAACTATAGACAAATACTTATTGAAATTTAATAATTTCCATAAACAATTACCAGTTCCATTTGTTATTTATGCTGACTTTGAAGCTATAACAGAGAAAATTCATGGATGTAAGCCTTCTGAAAAAAAATCTTTTACTCATGCAAGCTTATCAAAAACACACTGATTGTGGATATGGTTACAAAGTTGTTTGTTGTTATGATGATAAATACACAAAACCAATTCAAATATATCGTGGTGAAAAAGCTGTTTATAAATT